TTGTTTGGCGGGCCCAGGCTGGATTCGAACCTGTCACCTTAGGTGTATGTGGCTGGCACCTTAGCCGCTTGAGCCACAGGCACCGAGCCTCTATGTAGCTTAATTCTTAAACAGGGTCACCATCTGGTGGTTAACATGACCATGATTAGTCCCCAGTTTACACTCGCTGGCCGAGCACCTCTTTGGTGCTGAGAGACATTGCCTCTTTTCCAGGTAGATCAACAAAGTGCCAGAATTAAGTATTAAGGGCCAGGCTGTGATAACATGGCCACCTGTGAACACAGCCAGGTTCAGTCACATTCCTTTTCCTGATGCCCCATGCCAGCTAGGTGGTCCGAGTGAGGAGGAGGAGTGCATCTCCAAGGGCAGATGAGAACACTGTTACTGTCACCCCGGGGAAGTGGTGCAGCCCACGTAGATGTCCGATACAGGGTCACAAAGTCAAGAAGACATGACTGCTTCTCTCCAGGGGAGACAGACCTGCATGAGGAAACAATGTTGGGACAGGACAGTGGCAGGAACCCACTCACTGAGCATGTACATGGGAGGGCACCAGGACAGAGCCTGCTAGCGGGGTCTGCAGCCAATGCCCAGGGTGGAGTCTCAGCTTTACCACTAATGTCTCTGCCAGCCTCACCTGTGCATGTGGTAACAGTTGGGACCTCGTAGGGTTCTTGTGACATGGAATGAAGTAATGCTCGATAAATGTGGGCTGTTTAAGTAGAAGAATACAAGACAGGCTTCTGGAGGAGGGAAAGCCCTATATTGAAGGAGTGGAAGCCACAGAAACCAAAGAGGGACTTGAGGTTCAGAGCAGGGGACCGTGGCTCCTGGCCGGGGCCCTCTCATGCCTCCCCCTGCCCACAGCCTGCCTCCGTCAAAGCCCTGCGCTCCGAGCGTCTGCTCCGCACCTCTCTGGACCTCGAGTTGGACCTGCAAGCAACAAAAACTTGGCACAGCCAGCTGACCCAGGAGATCTCGGTGCTGAAGGAGCTCAAGGAGCAGCTCGAACAGGCCAAGAGCCACGGGGAGAAGGAGCTGCCGCAGTGGGTGCGTGAGGACGAGCGCTTCCGCCTGCTGCTGAGGATGCTGGAGAGGCGGGTGAGTGCTCCTGACCCAGGGGGAGGTGCCGAGGGGAAGCGAGGCCCCACCACCCCGTCACATCCCCTGTGATCCCCACTACAGGCCTTAGTGGGTGTCCCAAACACGCCTCATTCCTCTTAGCAGAGGGACCAGGAGACTCTCAATGGGCTGCAAGGCCCATTCGCTGCCTCTATTGAGGTGTTCCTGCATGCCAGACCTTACTGCTGGCAGGTGCTTGGACACAAACCTTAACAGAGCAAAGATAAGACACTGACCACCTTGGCACCGGCCTAGGAAGTCCCACAGGGCAGCTGTCTCCAAGGGAGAGAAGGGCTGATCACCAAGGCTTTATGCTGACAGAGACTACCCTGGAGTGCAAGACTGCCCTGCTGCAGTGAGTCTGAGAGACTTGAGGGTTGATCAAGGAGAAAAATATAACCACACAGTAGCAGGAACATAGTTTTATTTGGACTGTGCTTTCACAGATTGGCCTGCAGGGGGAGTCTCATAGAGCATGAGACCTTCCAAAGGTGCTGGGGACAACTGCCCAGTAGGAAAGAGGGCCGGAGAACTCCCAGTGGAGGGGAGGGCTGAAGAGGGGGCTCACACATGGGGACGATGTCAATCAGAGGCACAGTGGGGTGTCTCTGGGTCAGAAAACCCCAAAGCACAGCAGGACCAGCAGCCCAAGTCCCTTATAGGCCCAGGCTTTATCTTGTCTGTGGCTAGCAAATACTGAGTACAGTTTCACAGGTTATGCAAAGTAGAAAGGTTCTAAATGGCTTTTTAGGAAAAGCTGCTTATTTATGCTATATGTAAAACAATTGAAAGGCTAAAAATGGAGTTTGGCTCCAGTGGGCTTTTGAGCTAAGAGCTCCTTGTCTATCAGAAGTAGTAGATGACTTAGGCCCAATAGACAAGGGTTGGCTTTGACTCATTTATAACAAGTAACACCTGCCACTCTGTGGTTGGCACCCATAGCAAGAAAGAAAAGCTTTTCCTAGTTCTCTCTGCACAAAGCCAGACACTGCAGAGGGCACCTTACAGAGGGCGCCTACTGAAATCTCAGCTCTCCGTGCAGATGGTGACACCCTCAGGCAGGAAGATGGTGCTGGATGTCTCAGGCCTGGGCTCATATGGAAGCTTCAGCCTGACTCTGGCAATTTCCAAGTTTCAGAAATGTTTCTCTCTTTCTCACTTATTTTAAATACGCTGTATACTTAAACCAGGGTTATAAAAAGGTTGTATTAGGGGAAAATAGAAAACCAGAAAGCTTAAAGCAGGAGAAGAAAAGAAATATATGGCAAACCTAAAGTAACCTGTGGTTGGCTATTATATTTATCTTCGAGCATCCTGGCAGTCAAGGTGAAAAGTGACAAGAAAGCAAGTACCTATGTGTCCTGTCCCACTTGCAAAAGGCTAAGCAGCCAGATGTTTCCTGAATTAAGAAAACTTGACCTTTCAGCCAGGCTCATGCCTATAATCCTACCTCTCTGGGAGGCCAAATTAGGTGGATTGCCTGAGCTCATGGGTTCGAGACCAGCCTGAGCAAAAAAAAAAAAGCGAGACCCTATCTCTAAAAGTAACTGGTGTTGTGGCAGATGCCTATAGTCCCAGCTTCTCAGGGGGCTGAGAAAGGAGAATCACTTGCGCCTAAGAGTTTGAGGTTGCTGTGAGCTGTGATGTCAAGGCACTCTACTGAGGGCGACAAAGTCAGACTGTCTCGATAAAAAGAAAAAAGAAGAAGAAAACTTGACCTTTCAAGTAGTAAAAAGTAATAATAACAATACATCTATGACTTTTACCAAAGAACTATTTAAATGACAGCTTTATTGGCCAATATTCTGACTTTGTGCAATGTTTTCAACTACACAGTATGTGGACATTTTAGAGCTCTCTGTGGTTTGTCATCCGCAGTGTTTGCATAGGTTTACATCAGGAGGAGGGGCTCGTAAGCAGCACTGCGTGGCTTGGAGTTGGATTTCCACCACGTCTTAGTTTTTGGTGTTAAAGAAATTTCTTAATACGCCTGAGCCTCCATTTCCTGGTCTGTAAAACAGAGGAAATAATAAAATCTACCTTCCTAGGTGGCCTGAGGATTAGATGAGGTAGAACATTTCACCTGGCAGCCCTCATCTCCTCACTTCCTCAGATCCACACAGGTATTCAGCTCCCTGGCCCCCACAATCTGGCCACTGGGACAGGTGACATGCACACTTTACTTATTCTGAGTGAAGCGCTCCCACGGTGGAGTGGGTAGCATGAGGGGGCACTTGCTCCAGCAGCCTCCTAGTTGGTGCTAGCAAGTTCTCCTTGGCTGTCCCTTTCTGGGAGTCCCTCTACCACCTCAAAGCCTTGCTTGCTTTGTCTTGCAGAGGGATGGAGCGGAGCACAAGGGTGAGCTACAGGCGGACAAGATGATGAGGGCAGCCGCCAAGGATGTGCACAGGCTTCGAGGCCAGAGCTGTCAGGAGCCCCCAGAGGTTCAGTCTTTCAGGTAAGCAGAAGGTACCACCAGCCACCTGCCTAAGTCATCTTTTCATGGTCTCATTGCTTCTGTCCCTTGCTCACAGAGCACCAGCTCTGTCTGTAACAGATGTTCATCCTCTGCCAAGACATCCCTGGCGATCCTGGGCTCAGCAGTGCTCTTCCCTTGGCTGTCTTTATCAGTCGCCACACAGCTCGAGCTAATTTGTTAGATCCTCTTGTTTAATGAATGAGCCACCTGCTCCAGCCTTTCCTTGTAGTGTTTCCATCACTGGTAATTGCAGAGGGTTGGCTGAATGATAAATTAGCCTGGGGGTGATGGATGCTCACTGGGCCTCCCACACTCTGCCTGCTGCCTGCCAGAATCTCAGGGAGGTACTTTCTTACTATACTGGACCTAGGTTTATCCCAATAGGGCCCCAAATGCCATTGTCCTGGACCTCCCATCCTAGCATTTAGACTTCTAATATACTCTCAAATAAGGTAATGTTTGTGTATGTCTAAAAAAAAAAAAAAAAAAAACTCTGTAATTCTAGCACTTTGGGAGGCAAGGGCAGGTGGACTGCCTGAGCTCATGAGTTGGAGACCAGCCTGAGCCAGAGTGAGACCTCGTCTTGAAAAATAGCTGGGCAGTGTGGTGGGCGCCTGTAGTCCCAGCCACTTGGGAGGCTGAGGCAAGAGAATCATGTAAGACCAAGAGTTTGAGGTTGCTGTGATCTGTGATGCCGTGGCACTCTACCGAGGGTGACAAAGTAAGACTATCTCAAAAAAATCCTTTATAAAATATAAGCATTCAGAATGTATTATGATCTGTATAACTGTCTTTGGGCATTTCCTAATTTTTTGTAAGAGACAATGTCTCTGTCACCCACAAGGTCTCTGTCACCCATAGTGACACAGTTATAGCTCACTGCAGCCTTGAACTCCTGTACCCAAGTGATCCTCTTGCGTGAATAGCCGGGACTACATGTGCATACCATCATGCCCA